AGAGCTCAACCATGAAGTGCTCGGGGGCTTGTCGATACGGGACCCACGGGATACCCTCAAGGAAGGAAGAAGATCTAGTCTAACTATGATTCTTTCCATGTAATCTTAGTAGTAGTATTATTCTATAATCCTACTAGGAACTCTCATTGTAAATCAACTAGGACTCTGGTCTCTTGACTATATAAAGGAGGGCGGGGTTCCTGGAAGAAAAGAACACTTTACAATCAATCCAACGCAAAAGCTAATGCCAACTGGACGTAGGGCTATTACTCGATCACGATCGAGGGTCCGAACCAGGATAAATCGACTGTCTCTTGCGTTTACCGTCGAGTTCTGAATACGCTGAAGCCCGAACAAACTGCCCCGGGTACTCCCATGACAGGCTATCGGTGGTGAAACATCGACAAGCCCCCAATCAGCCGTCCCTGTGAAGAATGGAGCCTAAAGATTAGCTACCGTTCCGCGATACTCTGATGTAAGTATTAAGTATGAGTATGTTTCGTTATATAATAAAGCATTCTCTTGATACTATAGTAATTTGTCGCTATATGTGTAATTTGACTTCCTAGGCACACATATAGTTAGTACTCAGCTTTGTCTTTAAAACTGGGTGTGACAGAGTGCATTTGTGTTGAAACCAGTTAAATTATTCAGTGCATGCACTAATAAATGAAACAACTAATAAAACAAAGTCATTTCAATGAAAATTAAAATTGGTGTCAATGAACCATTTAAAATGGAGCAGAAATAACAGTACATTTTACCATAGATCTGGCTCCAGTCTAAAGCACAGGATACAAGAGTTGTTTACAGAGGAAATATCTTTATGTTCGAACTTATTGTGCCAGTTTTGTTAAAAAAAGTCACCACAACATCAACCATTAATAATATTTGCACATTATTTGTGCTCCTCGGCCAAGCAATAAATATCATGCAGCCAGTGCTATGGTAATAACTTATATTAATACAATAGAGTTCTATATCCCATGAAAGCTAAAGTTAATCCTAGTGTTTATTTATGCAGCCTAAGAAAATAGTGTACTGGAAACTTATAGCTGCCTTGAGTTTATAAAATATTATGGAATATCATCAAGTCTATATTGCATCCTGCAGATTTGCAACATAAATATATAGCTTGGCAAAGTATCTCTTCATTATTTCACTAATTTAATACATAGATATCCAAGTTATGAAAGAAAAAAGAGGCAATGCATGCATTAAAAAATTGATAGAAAAACATGGCACAAGATGGAGAGAATCTGTGTGATATTCGTGAGCATTGAGAGCTTAGCATGCTCATTAAGCCGCAACTATAAGGGGAATAACACATCATGGCTAAGCACCAGATCACCACACTTTCGGAAGTCACCAACCTAAAGTCTATACAGCCTGCAAAACTAACAAAAATGAAAAGAAGATCCCAAGCATCACTCTGTACAAAGTTTCATATAGAAGACAATAACTCGTGTATCTGCAACTCAAACATGGATAGCATTTTCAGTTATGTAATGCATACAACTATCAGTTTAAAGAGTGAAGAAAGCATAGACGATGGTTATGTAGAACACATGTACAGCGACCAAACAAACAACTCACCTCTATCGCAGTTTTGCCAATTTCCCCAGCTTGTCAGGTATTGTGCCGAGAATTGGAAATATGTTGCATCGTGCTCATAGATTCTTGTGCAAACAATTAATAAATATAGAGGATCTGAGCGGCACACGCACCACGCACCGTTTTGCAGTTGCAGGCACAAGCCACAGGGCGTCCAGCGCATCCTCGTCCGTGCCGGCAGGCGTGTCCGGCGGCGACCGTCGTCCTCGTCCGGCCGGGCGGCGTGCGGGCCTGAGTTTCCGGTTCGAGCGGCACACGCACCATGCACCATTTTGCGGTTCTAGGCACAGCCACAGGGAGTCCAGCGCGTTCGGCGGCGTTCGTCGTCCTCGTCCGGCCGGGCGGCGTGGGACTGAGTTTCTAATCCGAGCGTCACACGCGCCACGCACCGTCTTGTGGTTCCAGACACAGCCACAGGGCATCTCACGTCCTTGTCCGTGCTGGCAGGCACGTCCAGCGGCATCGGCCGTCCTCGTCCGGTTAGGAGGGACAACGCTAGATGGGTCGTAGGGAGAGGAAATCAGAGCAGAGGGAGAGGAGTGTGGGAACCGCTAAGCGGAGAGAGAAGAGGTGAAGGCAGCGGCGGTACAAGATCGAGGAGACGGGATCGCACATCCGAAGCGGGAAGGAGAGGAAGGTTTCGGTGTGGCTACAGGCGGGCGGGTAGGCTCGCGTTTGTGAAAAAAACACGAAGGAGTCATCCTCCCCGAGTGAAACACACCTGTTTCATATGTTCCTGCTGTGTTTCTCTCATGGGTCCACCCGTCAATCTAAGATGGGTAGGAAGATTTTCTGGTGACAATAGATTTCTAATTCCTTCGCTCCTTTATAGTATAGATATAACAAATCTAGCATCACATGAAGAAATTTATTATCAATGAAAATTCTGTACAGAATAAAGATATGTTGTGTAAGAGAGGCATGTGAAAAAATAGATGTAATAAAGCAAGAAGTAAAACAATAAGGAAGATGTTGTGGACACTTTCATTGGGAAGCAATACAGCGAGAAGACGACGAAGGCGTCAACAACTGTTAGTGGCTAAAATAGGAGTCAATTCCCTCAATGCCACTAAAAATTATATAACTTCCCTCAAAGCATCCAAATTTTCCTTCTCCCTTCACTGCCATCAAATGGAAATTTCGTTTCCCGGGATGCCATTCCGTCGGATTACAGTCAAGTGGCTGTTAAGTTTCATACAAAAATGATCATTCTACCCTCCGAGTGACAGTACAAAATTGCTATATTTCCTTAGATACCATTGCACGCTATTTTCATCCATTCCTCTAGATAACTTTACATTGAATATTAATTCATTCCAAATATGTAACACATATATTTATTATTACATAAACAAGAAGGCAGCGAGCACATGGCTGACAGATATTTTAGTGAGCTGAGAATTAAATAAGAGGCACAACAACAGTTAGGTCTCCACATTTGACATCGACATGTGCTAGTCTTGCACATCATCGTTACATCATATGGTCCAAGATGGTACTAATAGCCAACAAATTACAATACCACAAAGAGCATTACAGTTGTGCTCACGAGCAAAATTAGTTTAGTATCAGATGTCTACGGTTCTTATCATACATTAAGCGCAATATTGAGAACTAAGAACAAAGAGATAATGGCAGTACCCTGGATGAAGCCAGGATTGGTGTGGATCTGCTGCTGCCATCCTCGTTGTCCACGATTCAGCAGTCGCCCACCGCCCAAAGAGGCCACGGTTCAGCAGGTGCTCCAAGGACACGGCGCCTCCCTTGTGGCCTACCGCCGGCGCCGCGCCTGCCTGCGGCCTCCCTGCCCCGCTGCCCTCCCGCGGCCTCGCGGCCTGGCAGCAGCGCCGCACGCCGGTTTGCCACTGTCCTCCCGCGGCCTCGCGGACTCCCGCCCACCTGCACGCATTCTGGCGAGCCGCCTCCCGCACGCGTGCGAGCTCGAGCTCGTGATTCCAGATCTAGAAAGCAAAGGAGACATTACTCTATTTGCGTCAGCCCCTGATGTCAGTTTCTAAGGAGCATATTGGCCACCATAGTATAACGGACCTTAATGTCAATGGTGGGTCCAGAGTTGTCAGTCTCACAAATTTAATAGCGACTCAACGGAATGCAGTGAGGGAAACGAAAATTTCATTTGATGGCAGTGAAGGGAAAATGAAAATTCTGATGGCCTTGAGGGAAGCCCTAAATTTTTAGTGGCATTGAGGGAATTGACTCAAGCCATAGTTATCTGTTTAGGGGACTTTGGCTAAACGATAGATTTGCATGCGTTTGGATTTAGGATCTGCATGTGTTTGGTTATTGATTGACTCTGTTAATAGTTGACAGCCGTCCATTAGGTGCTATAACTAAGGGCCGGCTAAGCGAAGAGGAACAAGCAGAAGTAGAGTTAGCAGATCAGAGCCTCACAGGGAGGGCGATCGGCGATCCTCTCTAGTAATTCGGCCATTAATTGTAATCATCTTCCAGTGATCATAGAGTTCCCAGATTCCTAGCCATATCAGAAGAGGAGAGAACAAATTTTTAAAACATAAATAAAGCAAAAGGGTAATTAATATACAAATTTGAGGTAAAAGAAAAAATAAAAAAGAAGAATGCAAGCAGCAAGCAGAATGGAAATCCAGATCATCTCAGCATCTTATATCGGGTGCTGACACAGAATGCTCAACCTGAAAGCTGAAAGTGTTTGTTGTGGGCGGGGAAAGCAATAAAAGGATGGACCACGTCATGGGTTACCCCGACACACTACTGGAAACTCGAATATTTCTGAGGGTGATTATTTTTTCTGTGCGTTTTTCTCAGAACACACAGAAAATTTGTAATTTTTCTATCGGTATCAAAATATACCCACAGAAATATCGAAAAACCGACAGAATAATTGAGTTATTTTTCTGTGCGTGACAATACAGACAAAAAAACAATGCATACCCACAGAGAAATAGCAATTATTCTGTGGGGTTTTTTTAACTCACAGAAAAAACGACACAGGCACAGGAATGGATTCATCGCGCCCTATTTTCGTCATTGGCGCCTGCCTTCGCGCAGTATAGAATAGAAAAGAGAGTGAAAAAAAACACCCTAAAAGTAAATCCTCCCGCGGCCACCACCCCAACCCTATCTCAAATGCGCCGCCAGAGGCCGAACTCCGCAAGTCCGCCGCTCCCGTAGTCCCATCGCTCCCGGCTCTAGGTCCGCCGCTCCCACCTCATCCTGTCGCTCCCAGCTCCAGGTACGGCCCCAAGTCCGCCGTCGCCTCCGCCCGACGCGCCGCCTGCCCCAGATCTGCCATCGCCCAACCCCTCCAGCGCATGGCACCCTGAGCACGGCCTGTCCTAGCGAGCGGCCCCTCCCGGCGCGTCGCGCCGCTGGCCACCGCTTGCCCAATGATCCGGTGCCGGCGCCGCCTCTCCTGCGCACGGTGTCTCGGGCGCGGCCAGTGCCGGCAAGCGGGACCACTTTTGAAGCCGGCAACGGCGGATCTGGAGGAGCCCGCCACCACGCCCCTTCCATGTCCGGCACTGCCCATTCATCGGCCCTCCACCTCCTCTGGGCCGACCGGACTGGAAGAAGGGGAGGAGAGCCGCGAGGGAAGACCACCTGTGCCACCGCCGTTGCCGCCGGTGAGCTACGTCTCTGACTGCTTCCTCCTTAGGTCTTTGCTTAGGACTTTCTCCTGGTCGAGATCTCTTGTGATTTGCCTTGTTTGTCGTATCATCAGATAGATTTACATGGACCATTGACTACTTTCAGTTCCCATTCCCTGAAACATGTTTTTGCATTCAGTGAAGTGAGGGTTGAAGGTTTGAAGACCTTGAACTATCTTGACAACTTGCAATCCAAGAATCGTTGTACTGAACAAGGAGATGCAGTTGTATTTGAGTCTGAAGTAAGCTTGTGTTCTGCTAAATTTCATGGTTTGACGCCATTTCTGTACCAATGAAACTCTAATTACATTTATATGTTGTTTTTTGAGTAAGGTGGACAAGGTATATTTGAGTGCTCCGCCAAAGATTGTGATCATTGACCACGAGAAGAAAAGAACATTTGTTTTGAGGAAAGAGGGACTTCCTGATGTTGGTGAGTTAGGAGTTATTAGGACCTTTTTTTATTCTTCAATTACAATGTTGATTTGTGAAATTCTGGGTTTTAAACTATTATGGATGTTGGCCTTTTCGTTTTGCAGTTGTTTGGAACCCTTGGGACAGGAAGGCCAAAGCAATGCCAGATTTCGGGGATGAGGAGTACAAGAGCATGCTATGCGTGGGGGCTGCAGCTATTGAGAAGCCAATTACTTTAAAGCCAGGTGAAGAGTGGATAGGAAAGCAGGAAATTTCTGCTGTACCATCCAGTTACAGCAGCAGACAATTGGATCCTGAACTGATTCGTCGAATGCACACAATATAAAGTTTACCAACGATTGCCTCCTATGTGAGTATTCTGCACTTACTTTATTTGAGTGTTAGCAAATAAATCGTGCCTCCTTTCTTACAGTATTCTGTTAGCCACCTGTTTACTTGTAAAACCATCTCTAGCATAGCTGGTAAAAAAACAATCAATGAGTAGGCACTAGTTAATAAAACCAATATTTAACCTCAAATAGGTTATCGCTGTCACTGTTAAAATGGTCCGACAGTTGGATTTACATGTAAAAGATGGCCAAAGTGTGAGGAACACAGGATTGACATAAGATCTCCGTACGTGTGGTTATAGACAAGAGAGATTTGTCTTGAGAGGACACAGAATGGAGAGCTATGTTTTGAGGACAGCAAATACAAAAAAGTAATTGCAGTGTGCATATAACACTTTGATCCTTTGAGGACAGCAAATACAAAAAAGTAGTAGTAGCACCTCTGATTTGTTGTATTTAGAAACTGCACTGCCATTTTGATTCATGAAAATCACAAGTAGAACTATACTAACATAATTCACGATTAGTAGTGCATCAAATATTTCTTGAACATATATGAGCAATGAGCTGTCAGTTTGATCCAAATGGGAGCTCTTCATTGTCTTTTATCAGTAACTTGACATCTTTGAAAATCACAAGTAGAACTATACTAACATAATTTACTGTAATGTAAGAAATATACATGGATGGACCACTCAAATAATGTCATTATATTTGAATTTGAGGGAGCAATGTAATTAGAAGATTTTACTGCAAAGTTAGAATACAATTTTAACTTGTTTGTTTTGTTACCGTGGTTGCTTTTCAGGTGAGATGCTATGAAAACAGTATCTTGAATATCTTGCATATATCAACCTGATCAATCATTTTGATATGTGATATTTGCGGAGTTGAGATGATATGAAACCCCAGTCTCGTGCCGCGCTGCTCTCCCCTTCCCTAACTATGCCTTGTGACTTTTTTTGTTTTGTACTACTTTTGAGTGGCTGTGATGAATCAAGTTTCCATTAGAGAACTTCTGCACTTTAGCACCTTATGAGCTGGTACTTGGGATATTTTGTTATGTTTGCTGCTTAACTAGGATGGCTTGTACCAGTACAAGCAACCAGTTCTATGGCCAGTTCAATTCCCATTAGAGAGAGAGAATTAAATTAAGTTCCAGGTGAAATTAAGTTGCAGTTGTCATGCTGATAATGGGTAAATCTGAGCCATTTCTCGAGTTCTTTTGCTCTTGTTCTTTTGCTCCAGGTGAAATATATGTAGTTCTTGTGCTTTTGACATACTGCTCTCTAATGGATCTGGAATGACCAATAGTTTCTTTTCTAATAGCTCAGTTCAATAGAGCTCTGTGATTTTTGCATTGCTATTTGTAGAAGAACATGACTTTTTTTAATTCAATATAGTAGCTAAGCTGACACCTGTATCTGAGCTTGTTTTTGTGCTCCGATTGATGCTAAGAGTTAGGACTTGAATGTTTGTTCAGATTGGATCAGGTTTGGCTCCTCTTTCTTGAATGTCGCCACCTATACATGTGTGCATGACCAACTTTAGTGTTTGCTTGGTGTTCTATACTACTGTGCAGTTTATTTTTAGAATTTGTTGCAATACAGTAGGGTATCGGGGGCTTGGGTCTATCAGTTAACCTTGTCCATGGGATAAGTATGTATGCAACACCAAAGTTTCTGAAATCTGAATCGATGATGTGGTCTAGCAATGCACTTATAAGGTATCATGGATTTCTAGTGCACTGTGGCTCTTTTGCTGCATCTATTTTGGTCTACAGATTTTTTTTAGACATCTTTCCATGTTAGCTTTCTGTTATTGCATTCTATAGATTTTTTTAGACATCTTTCTGATTTGCCCCATGGGTCATTTTTATTTGATGCCTCAGGAGTGCTGGACTTCTCCAAATTATCATCACTTGCATCTGAATCCATTTTAGCACCCTTATCAGCCCAAGTATCCATTTCAGCTGGTTGTCCAGATATAGTTGCCTCGCCTGTTGGCTTCTCGGTGCTCCAGCCTCCCCAATCAGTGGAATTATCATGCACCTTAGCATGCACTTGAGAATAGGTTAATGCCAACATTTTAAAGCATGGTTTGGTCAGCCAGGAATCATGATCCAAGTTGATTTGGCTAACTGAATTGCAAAACTATGTTCAATTGTGGTTGTGAAAATGTAGAATTCACTAGTTTATCAGTTTGTGGTACATTTGGAAAAGTATTGTGGCACTATAAGTGAGGTAGCAGTAGCAACCTTCAATGTCTGCATGGGTGGCGGCCCGAGGTTTAGGCGGGTTTTTGAGAGCTGGAGGCTCCGGCTGGGATCATGATCATGAATGGGGTTTTTTGAGCCTTGCTTTGCTGGGTGAGCTGGGATTTCTGATGCTTTTTGTGGTTGCCTGTGCAGGCTAGAGCAGGAGTCGGGCTTCTACTTCAACATGAAGCACTTCGAGGACCTCGTGCAGGGCGGCGAGTGGGACGAGTTGGAGAGGTACCTCAGCGGCTTCACCAAGCTTGAGGACAACCGCTACTCAATGAAGATCTTCTTTGAGATCCGCAAGCAGAAGTACCTCGAAGCCCTTGATAGGTGACCGACTCATCACTACGCTACTCTTGGTCCCTTGTTGTTGTCAAGGTTGTTTTTTTTGCTGAATTTGTTGTCGGTGTCACAGGCATGATAGGGCCAAGGCTGTGGAGATTCTCGTGAAGGATCTGAAGGTGCTCGCCTCCTTCAATGAGGAGCTGTTCAAGGAGATAACATAGCTGCTAACCTTGGAGAATTTTAGGTACGGTAACTTTCCTTTCAGAAGCAAAATGTATAGTGCATTGGGCCGGTGCATCCAGATGTGATTGTGTATTGATGATCAACAGGCAAAATGAGCAGATGTGATTTTGATGGTTTAATTTTGATATGTTTAATAACACATATTGACTTCCTTAAAATATCAGGAATGCAATTTGTGAACAGAAATACTATGGTGCTTTTTGGTATCAATTCAATTAGATTGTATGGTAGAATTTAATTTTTATGTGCACAACTGATATAAATCAAATAGTTCAATCACGTAACTGCTACTTGTGTAGGTTTACTATTTTTGTTCTTTATCTTCTTTTTGGTTATTCTGATGCCAAATGATGTGTTTCTTTGACTTCCCTTAGTATTTATGGATGGATAAGGTGACAGTTAAATGTAGTCCATGCTTCCTTTGTTCATTTGACTTGTTGGAATTTTATTGCTCCTGGTTGTCCAGCGCTACAGAATCTTCTTGATATGGTTCTTTTGGGACTGTTTTCATGTGATTTGGACATCTCTACCTGTTTATCCCAAGTAACCAGCTTTTATCGACAATGTGCAAAGAAATTTTATCACTTTATAGCGGCTCTAGCTTTAGATGCTTATGTTATAGCAGATACCATCCTTTTTTTTCCTTATTGTAAGGTCGTATCCATACATGCAACAATTTCCTAGAAAGAATTTTAAAGGAACGTGATTCTTATATTTTCTCTTGTTTTGTATTCGTAGGTTCCGAACTCCATTTTCTATAATATTTCTCAGTCCATTACAACTTCATGATCGTTGATCTGGAAAAGTGTAGCAAAACTATGCATCGAAGAATATGTGTACATGAGTCATTATGTCTAACATTTAGTGTGACCCTTTTTTCATTTCCATGCTTTTCTCGGGCTTATGTATCATTTCCATGTTGGTGTTGGATCTAGCTAGCAATGTAACAAAAAATGCCACATTGGACAGATGCCAAACTGCACCTTGAACCACATATCTATATATAGTAATACTTGCATCGTCTGGTGCTATAAATATCTAGAGAGAGTTTGATGGATTTTTGTACGTGCCCATAGCCTACATTTAATTCAGTGTCTGTCCATCTTTAAGAATCAACCTCTGGTGTGATTCATAGCGTAGTGTTAATGAGCAGATCTCTTCGACGAATGATATGGTTGATTTGCATTCATAGTGTTGTCGACCAAATCTGTTCCGTGCAATATATGGTTGTTTTCAAGACCGAATGCATAGCGAAAAGCAAAGATCCTGCCTTTAATGCTCGTCTAATTACACAGGCTATCGTCACAAAATGAAACTCTTGTTTCATGCCTAAATATAGTGTTTTCTTGTTCTGGAAATACTAGAGTAAATACTGTAAGCCAGTTAGCATAGCAGTACAGGGTAGTAGGCTCGTGGCAGAGACAGAGAGGAGCAGGATATTGAGATCAGTAGGGAAGAATCAACCATTTTGTATTGGGAACAGGAGGCAATGGGGACATACATATCTGAGAGAGAGAACAATAGAGGAAGGTGCCGGAATCGGATGCTGTTAAGGTTTAGCCTTCAAGCTAGCTATTCCTTTGGAATATTAAGATCTTGACATAATCACTGCCTCGTCTCTGTTGCTCTCTTTGCAGATTTCAACCAAGCTTCCTGAGGGCAACGCATAGGTCACAAAGTCCAATGAAGCTTTTTCATCCAGAATTATTGCATAGCAGGAGCTGGAGTGCCAAGTCCATTGTCTAACATGGACACGAGTAGGACTTTGATGTAGGGTATGCGGTGGACAGAGATAAAAATGTGACGCTTGAGCAAACCATGCGTCTTGTGAAGACTGAAAGAACAATGTGAGGTGGAGCCTGCGGTCCGAGATTATCATGAAGACTGAAGCAACACACAAGAAACAGCATCGCTCCAAGTAGATTTCTGTTGTGGTTAAGGTTACAGTTTTATAACTTCTATAGTCTTTATTGCCCCCAAAGCATTGTAATTACCTCATTGCCCGTGATTCCTCGAATATCTGGCACAAACCAGACGAGGGCACCATATAAAAATTTATTTTGACTATTGCCATCCTCTATAAATACGAGGTTACTGCCCAAGTGCCCATGGTTTGGCATCTACGCTACCAAAAATATTTTGGGAGACATGCCAGTATTATTAACATTGGCAGTCACAAAATTTACATGGCTCACAAAATACCTAACGATTTTTGAAGGTGGTCATTTTGTTTACGAAGATACCCAAAAGTTACCCATCTCTCAAACTTGATTTATAGATGCGGGCCTCTTAAGAGGTCTACCTCTAAAAATAGAGCCTTATTATTAGAGGTGAACCTGTTAAAAGGCCAAACCCACTAGCAAAACCTTTGTCCCATATATCAGCACACTTTCCATCTCATAATATATATTAGAAACCCTAACTTTCTATCCCGCAACTTCCCTGTTCTCTCTCTCCCAATCAAACGGATGTACCTATCATTGTCAGATACATCATTGCCAGTTATTTCAAAACATGTGGTGATAGTCTAATGATTTTAGGTGACAGGATTTCTGTTTAATGGAGGTGGACATACCTAGCGATCACCTCCGTAAATGGTCAGCCTCCCCAGGAACATGCCTGCCTCCAAAAATAATTTACGGATGCGGGCATCCTAAGGCATCTGCCTCTGATAATCATGAATTAACGGATGCGGTTGCCTGAGGACGTCCATCTCCACAGATCGATTTTCACCTCTAAAAGTCAATACTAATTGAGGTTCTAACTCCATAAAAGAGGTAATACATCACACGTCGATACATATTTTTTTAGATATCAAATGGTACTTTAACTTTAAAAATTAACAAACAACTTATATGCAGGATACTTCTAACTACAGCTTCAGCCATCTGCATGCTTCAGTTGCAAGAAGTCAGACGCCGCATCTTGGACTAGAAAACCTTCTGGATCATCATTGATTGGTGGCCAACTGCAGCTTAGTATTCGTGCAAAGCACGTTCTTTTAGTCGAACTATTGAGAGATTAAATTCTTAATTGTAGAATAGAGTCTAAAACATGTATTGTGAAATACAAACTTGTTAAGATTATCTTTCCGTAGCACTTGATTCCTAAAGAAGTGCAAGTTTATGTTTCGCGTATCGTATGTATGAAGTGATGCGACAATTGAAGTTGATGTTTTAGTTTTGCATTCAAATTTAGAGTTATATTTTAACTATCTATCTTTCGTGAAGACTTATGTAATATTGATTGGAACATTATGATTGCGGTATCTATTTTAAATAACAATATAACAAACGCTCATACATATGTTATCGTGGTATTATGTGTTCCCGTTGCAACGCACGGGCATTTACCTAGTTGAGACATAAAAACGTAATGCATTAAACGTTTGAAGTTATCCATATTGGATGCAAGGCCTGCCTCTGGTGGAATGAACTGTTGCTAGTTTCCTTTGTTTACCTTGCCGTTTCGTGTTGTTCCATTTTTCTCATCCTCTTTGCAAAAACTTATTCTATTATATGTATTAAAATATTTTTTACTAATACGAGTTGGGTAATCAGCCCCATTTATTTTGTTTAATAATAAAAACATTGTCCTATAAGACATGTAGATGACCCAATGACTGTACAGCACGCATGGTGTTATATTTCAAAGAAGCGTGCATGGAAAAGTTTCTGCCTCCGCCATTAACGGTGTATCCTGTATGTTTTGCCTGCATGCAGTGACTTGGTTTCTTTTGGCAGCTACGGCATACGCCCAAGTAATTAACCTTCATTCAGGTACTGCCAGATGTGATTGCCCCGTGCCACATAGCTTTGATCTTGTTGGCACGCTCACGCTCTGGGCAAACCGGTATTTTGATCTGCATATCACTGCTTCCCTCATGCCTCCCATTCCCATGAGACATCGTCCCATCCACTTCCTGGATTATTTTGACATCGCCCTGTGTGTTTACGTGCTACTGTTAGCTGTGCCTCATTGAGAAAGGTTATATATAGAGAGGGCCGGGCATGCAGATGATGTGGAATTTCATTAAATTCTATATCCTATCATTTGATGTATTGTTGGTGAAATAAAAACACACGGAGACTGTGGATCTCTCTTGTAAGCATGACTGATGGTAAAACAAGGGAAATAATGTTCACATTAAATGTGAACCAAACCAGTGTATTACTCAAACAATGAAGTTGTTCTAACACCTGACTGTTAACTATGACAATTGAGCATCATTAAGTATGACATTCATTGCATTTTATAATCATGGCATGCCTATTTTTATTGGCAAAAGGGATGACGATCGTGAAGGGCCCAGGAAAGGTAATTAATAAATTGTTAAATATTATTCAAAGCCTAAGAATCAAAATAATGCAAATTGATTCAGATACTTCGATGTTGGTTAATAAATGGACTATAACAATAGTTCACATGTCTTATATAAAAATGAACAACAGGAAATAGGTCTGGAAATGCTGATTACATGAAACGAATCATGGTATATGTTTAGGCCTTATAAATAAATTAAATTTACCAAAATATTTCAAAATTTGAAAACACAAGAAATGGAGTAAGATATGTGCTACAACATGGGACAAAGCTAGGTTAAAGATTAAAAAAACATAACAAAGTTGTAGCCCAAACTTTGGGGAAATTCCATTATAAAGACTCCCATTCTTTCATGCTAGATGTTACGATTTCAGCATTAATTGAATTAGTTTTGAATTGCCTTGTGTCGGGCTCCCCAAATTATGGGGTCCACTATGCATATGTATCAGTTCCTGGATCAGTAGCTGATACGCACAACTCAACAAGATTAATATAAAAAACCCATACTTTTATTGCTAATGGGGAAAACATGTTACATGGTTCGGGTTTACGTAGTTTGGATCTCTGGCCTCATATCGTATATCAGAGTTCTAAGACAACGGTCCTATGACGATGTGGCTCCATTTCCTACAGGCAACTTGGAGTGTGGACGCAG